GCCTATAAATAATAATGAACCTTAAATTATTTGGTAATAATTGAGTTCATGATGAAAAGTCTCTTCTTCCACAGTGTGCTCCCTATATATCCAGCTCCCATGTTTTAAATACACACAGAAAACTGATATTATAGATCAGTGATCAGGTTAAATTGCCTTTAATGGTACTGCCTCATGTCTGAAGAGTTCCCATGTTATAGTAAGACATTTCTCTCTTAGGTTTAACATATTGGCAGAGTCATTCTTTTACTTCTTATACAAATGTAAACTTAGAAAACAGTTTATTTCATCCAAATGCGCAATCTGAAATCAAAAACTGAATGTAAACTTCAGAAAATCAAAATTACAAGAGCACACTTCTCACAAGAAAAATCAAAGTAAAGGAAACAAAACCATTTGGAATTAAAAAAAACAAACAACAACCCAGCCTGTTCAAATCCACGGTGTTAGTGTCTGTATTAAACAAAAAGACCTGGGGGCTCAACACTCTGCTTCTGCAGACTGTTGTCACCCACGTGAGCTCAGTGGAATACAACAGTTTGTATCAGCAGAGAAGGTGGTCCCATGACTAACCCAAAAGGGACCTAAGTACTGATCTGATTTTTAAAGCACGCCTTAATTATTCTACTGATCCTATACTTACATATTCATATCAGAAAACAACCTCAAGAGCTGCAAAATTTCAGACATTTAACTAGCTCTATGTGCCTTTATGAATGACAAATATACAGAGCCAAATCAATCCCTGGAACCACTTTGCACACAACTGGCTTCCAAATTACACCAGAAAAGAACATAGCTCATCTGCTTTTTCAGTGCTTGCTACCTATTTTCAGGAAGCTATGATTTTTCAATGCCAGCACAGACCAACAAAGTCGAGGAGCACTTTTTTATCTAGGAAAAAACCGAGAGATTGATCTTCATAGATAAAATATTCCACTTTAATAAGGGGAAGGTTCTAGCAGGCTGTCTTCATTTGATCAAAATATAAAGGGAAGAAATGTGGGCTTTTAAATTGTCTATACTTCATTTCCTTTTGTATTAACTGACAGCTGCACTAATTAAAAAAGCTTGGTGATAGAAAACAGATCGACTGTGCCCGTGGCCAAAAAACTATGTATTTATGTGCAATGCAGATATATTTTTATTATATCTTTGTAAACCTACTATGAAAAGTGTACTGATGAAATCAGCGATTTGGAAAATACGTTTCATACAATCACTGTGGTTGGAAAGGACCTCTGGAAGTCATCTAGCCCAACCCCCTATGCTCCAAGCAGGGTTAACCAGCACCAGAGGGTTGACTTACTGCAAGCTGAGCAGCACAACATACACCTGGTAACTTGTTCAAGGAGTATCTTTTTTTCAGTTTTCTCCTTTTCTTTTCCATAGCTTACGTTAGCAATTTTTTTTAACTTCAAGTAAGAGAGGGAAGAATGTTCCCACAATCATTCTACTCAAAAGAACAAAAGTGAGTGGGGTTTTTTGAGTTTGCATGAAGCAGTTCTGACTTCTGCAGTAACTTACCCACTGGTTTCATGATACGTGTATGTGTAAGATCCTTCTATGACCAGGCTAAATCCAAGTGTCATTTGCTACTAGTTCCCTCTTTGGAATTAACTGATGTGAAAGAGTAAACGACTTGGAAATTAGCAGATTATTTTTGCCAACAGACTCTGTTCCGCAAGTTAGTTGGTGTCTGTACGTATTTTCTAGAACTATGGAAGTCTGCATGTGCTTTACTCACAGCATGTTGAATTCAGTGATCATTCATGAGTAAAGATTAATTAAAGTACTCAAAATCAGCCACACCAGTAAGATTTTTTTTCAACAAACCTGATTCCAGATGTGGTGTGGCAACTAAAAGCAATGGTAAGCACTAAGGGGGAGTTCTGCCAAAACAGTTACCTGGGCTTAAATGAAGAAACAAGTGCTGGACTCCAAATGAAATTCTAGGTAACCAAGAAGCTTGATGCTGTATCGTTATGTGATGAAACTTGAGCTGGTCTTAAAAACACAACCTGTGAGTTGTAGCCTTGCTTTCTCAGACTAGCACTGCTTGGATGCAGTGGCTGCTCTGTCAGATTTCTCTTAGGGGTTGCAATAGTTACATTTCTGCCCCCCAAGCTTCACCTAACACACAAAAAAAATGATCTTTTACAGCTTTCCAGCAGTTACTCTGCCTGAAAATACCATGTATACCACAAAAGCACCTGAACTCTCTGCAGGTCTAACCACACACATTAACTTGAAAAGGGCAGACTAGGTACCAGTTGATCCTAAGTTAAACCTATCTCTGTTAATATTTTTTATATACAATATGGATGCAATCCTGCAGGACACACTCTGTGAGGATTGTACTAAAGGAAGGACTGCAAGATTCAGAGCTCCATCAAACAAGTCAGTTTTGCTCTCAGGCACTGATACCAAAAAGCACATATTCCAGCTGGTCTGGTTTATATAAATACACTCCAGAGAGACTTTGACTTCATTTGTCAGAAGCATAAAAGAAAGGAAAATATAGCCCATTAATTTTGATGTACTAAAATACAAAGATGCATATTGCGTTATTTCAGCAATATAACTACTTGGTATTTAGCAAAACTTATAAAACTGCTACTATTGATGCTAGTAAAACTAAAAATTTTGAGTCTTAAACTGCCTTTGTTTACATCTGGGCAACTTCATCAACTTTAGTCTAAGTTCAGCATAATTGCATGGGTACAACAGAAACCAGAATTTAGCTTTTAGCTTTCTTGCAGAAAGGGTTTTTATGGCTTATAACATATAAAATTCATGAGAGCATGCCTGAAGCTGAACACCTAATAGTAAGTATCTTTATTGTACTACTGCACATTGAATTTTAATGCGGTGTCTGCCCCCAAGATCAGTGGCAGCAGAAAGACTTCTCCTCACCTGGTTCACCACAAGCAGGTCAAGGAAGTCAGGAGACAACATGCCCAAGGGTGGCAGAACAGTGCCTCTGATCATGAGAAACCCAAAAAGTAGTGAAAATAAATGTTTAATCTTGAGTGGTGGGAATATATTTTAACTGTTGTATAAAATAAACACACTTGGGAAAACATTTAACAGCAGAGATAACTGGTGATTGTCACTATTTGCTACAGGGTGACCCTGCTTTGCCTGAGTAAGGACTGCACTGTCAGGCCAAATACTTTGAAGATGCAACAGGCTATCCCAGTATGTTTGACTGCTCTTCTCCAGTTACAGTACTTTCGATTTATAGCAGCAGGAGGACTGACTCCGACCTTCAGTTCTTTTGGCTTTTGCTTAGAACAGACATTGGGCCTAATCCTGCATGCCTTTAGTACCCAAACTCTCACGAGCCTTATCAGTCATTCAAAATTCTGACTAGTGCCTGTGAGAGTACTTGTTACAAAGGAAGGAAGAACAGAGCCAGTTGTAAGGAAAGCTGCACCTTAGAAAAAAATACCCAGTACTTTCCCTCACCCATTTTCAAGGGGAACACACAATTTTCAAAAGCAGGATTTTAATGTCTTCATCTGAGGCCCCAAATCTATGTTCCTTCTGGCTCCCAAAACTCCATGCGAATGTTAATTTTGCTTGAATAAGGCCTGCAAGACCCATCCCCAAATCTTGCTCCTTGTTAAATTGAATGGAAATCCTGCAAGTGACTTCAGTGGGATCAGAACAGACCCTTCAGCCACTGCCTATTGCCCAGATATTTTAGCCACCTTTTCTGCAATACAATATCATCTAAATCTGTTTTCACTGACCTGTAAGACACTACAGATTGTTGTTAAAGGGTAGAACACAACAGGAAATAATGTTGCTTTAGGAATTTTACCATGAGTAAGTTTCTTTCTCCTTACATTTTCTTGTAAGATCAAAGATCAAACTAAAATGATTAAGTACACAGTCAATTAATTTTAAATGTACAGATCAAAATTATTCTCAAAATGTTCAAAAACTTAAAAATATGCACTCAAGTTTACTTCTAAAAAGCATTTTTCCAACAAACTTAAGCTGATATCTAATAGTCTAAAATGCAGAGCTGTACTTTATTTTATTGTTTGTCCACGGGCAACGTATGGGGCCACAATGTATTGAAATCATAATCCTTGCTTTCTGAAGAGAAATTGTTCTGTGTAATAATTTCTGAGGTGTGGTTTAAATTCCTGTCCTCCTCTAAGCAATTTCAGAAGTCATCTAAAATTATAATCAAACATGCTCAAACATTTTTGTGGGCTTAAAAACATGGTGTGATCATGGTCGGCAAACACTGGATAGAAGGTCAAAGCGAATACTTCCTAACAGGTCAAGATTAAAAAAAAAAAAATTATAGAAAGATGAACCTCAAAAATCTATTACAGGGGTTACCTAAACTTTGCCCGGCCGAGGACCACATTGGCGATTTGCCATGAGCACAAAGGCTTCATTAAGTCATGTTATACGGAAGAGACTGAGTCACCTTTAATATGGCAAGTTGGTCCGTAGAGATGACAGGTGCCAGTAAGCAATATGCCACCCTGATGTTTGCCATAGGTCTATGTAAGATTTAAGAGGAAGAAAACAAGTCATCACATCTGCTCATGTAGCGCTTATGTGAAAAAGGGTGGAAGTGAAGGCAAGGGCAAGAGGGAGCTGACGGCCAGGCACATGGGCACTAGGGATATTAACATTTTTCTCAGATGAAAGTCAGCCTCAGGACACATGACCAGCTATCATCACCGCCTGTTACCTGTGCAGGCCTCCCCTATGGCTGCCCTTGGGAGATCTACCGTGGACACGAAGGAAAGCGAGATTGGTCCCCTGGCCCACAGGCTGTGCTCTGGCCACCCCTGACCTATTAGAAAATGTTGATATTTTTCCCCACTACAACTCACAGAGTGCAAAAACAGCAAGCGTCAAAGTTTGAAACCCAGGCCTTCCCACCCACGCCAGGCCTGGCCTCCCTGGGCAGCTCCCCTGCCCACTCTGCCTTCCATCACCTGCTCCTCTGAGCAGAGGCGACTGCACTACACGGCCAGGTCGTCTGACCTGGCTCTGCAGCTGCTTGACTTACTGGCCCTGCTCAAGCGCCGTGTGTCTACGAGCAGCGGTGGCTCATGCATCTCCACGGTGGTGCAGGCAGCTGAGATGGGCCGTTCCTCTGACGGCTCCTCACCTTCCACATCCCACTTGCTGCCGCTTGCCCCACTCAAGCTGGTGCTGCTGCCGCTGTTGGCTGTGGCAATGGGCGGCCCAGCTGGGGGTGGGAGTAGCTGCTCCAGCGGCTCTTCCTGCTCGGGAAGGGGATGCCGGACACTGCTGGGGGTAGAGGAGCCTGCCGAGCTGGAGGGCACCTTCCCCTGCTGCTCAGCTGCCATGTTGACCCAGTTCTGCTCAGCCGCCAGGGCACGGCTGTTGCTGTTGAAGTAGTTGATGACGGCTGGCGTGGGTGTGGGGATGGGGGTTGGGATGGGGACAGGAGAGGAGATGGGGGTAGCTGGCCATAGAGGCCGCGTTGGAGGGGGGCCGTGGTCTTGGAGCAGCCGCAGCGTAGTACGGTGCCATGGTCACTGGGGCCAGCAGCGGTGTGACAGCACGGGTGTCAGGCAGAACAGGGGGGGGCGCAGCAGTCGTTACCACCACGGGTGGGGCTGGGGGGGGCCGGGGAACTGGGTTGGGCTCCCCAAGTGATAGATCTCAAGCATGTTCAGCAGCAGGGAGACAGAGGCCACCACCAACATGAAGATGATGAAGATGGTCTTCTCAGTGGGCCTTGAGATGAAGCAGTCCACAGTGTGTGGGCAAGGTGAGCGGCTGCACTGGTAGACTGGCTTTAGCTCGAAGCCATATAGGAAGTACTGGCCCACAATGAAGCCCACCTCAAACAGTGTCTTGAAAATTATGTTGAAGACATAGGTACGGAGCAGGGCACCCCCCATGCGGATTCTACCACGTTCATCACGGATCGGGAGCCTCTCCTTCCCCTTTTTGCCAAGAGGATCCTTGATGTTATTGCTGCCTCCTCCACCACCACTGCCAGACGCTATTGCTCCTGGGTAGTTGCTGTCTTTGACACTTCCCTTCTTTTTCAACTCTTCTTTCTCTTTCCTCTTCTCCTCCATGCGTACAATGTGCAGCACATGGCCCAAGTAGATGAGGGTTGGAGTGGAGACGAAAATGATCTGCAGCACCCAGAAGCGGATGTGAGAAATGGGGAAGGCTTTGTCATAGCAAACATTTTCACAACCAGGTTGCTGCGTGTTGCATGTAAAGTCTGACTGCTCGTCTCCCCAGACCTCCTCAGCAGCAGCCCCCAGCACCAGTATCCTGAAGATAAACAGTACCGTCAGCCAAACCTTCCCAATAACCGTGGAGTGCTCCTGCGCATTCTCTAACAGTCTCCCCAGAAAGCTCCAGTCACCCATTGTTTCAGATTTCTAACCTACAATAAGAACATTAGAGCAATTAGAGCAATGTTAAAAAAATCTTATCATTACACAATGCCGGGGTGGAACAGATTGATCCTCAACAAATGACACTTCTTAAGTGCACTTCCTTTTGCAGTATATTGCACCCCTACGTTAAGAACTACATAACCCTGTGACCATGCAGCCATGGGTTTTGGAGAGCACAGAAGTGGGATGTTTAGTGCTTTCACCTGGCCGACACAGGTTTAAGTATCTATACACAATGACAGGCAAGAAATATTCATAACCAGAACTTCTACAAGATTTAAATATTTAAAAAACATGATTTCTCTGTTTCTTCCACCTGAGATGCCTGTAACTGTTCTTGCCTATTTTTAGAAAAGAACAGATGGAAGGAAACCAGTTCAATTAAACAGAATATTCCTACTATTAATGTGACTGCACTTGTGTGTCACTTGTGTGATACAAAGTTTGCCTAACACTAATCATTTTATTGTTATCAGGACTTATTTACTCCAGCATTCAGGATGTTAGTAATGTCCCAGGTTGCTGCTATTTTCATACTGTACAAACACAGAAAAAAAAATTACTCAAAATCTACAGAATTTAGAGTTTAATTTTAGAAGGTGTACACCAACAACAAGCATGCTCTCAAAGCCTAGTCATGTTTTTATTTCTAAAAAGAGAGAATTGTTTGAAAAACTTGAAATATTGGGAAGAATGAGAATTCTGAGAGGAATGGTGGAAAGGTTTCTATGCCATTTTCTCTACCATCCTGACAGTTGGTGTTACTGAACCACATGCACTGCAACATTAAAACAAAACAAAACAAAAACTCAAGGGCACTTCAGCAACTGTGCACAGAAATTGTCTTGGAAAAACCAAAACTACACCCTATGACCTTACTTCTATGATAAACAACTGGTAAATATTCTCAGTAGTTTCTACCGATTCATGTATGATGGGCTTCCCATGCCCAGTTCTAGGCAGTGACATAACTTCTAGTTTGGAAAGGCTTAAAGTACAAGATTTTTTTTAAGATCAGATTCCTCACAAGCTGCCTTCAATTGAGAAACAAGCTATTATCTGCTGGTATCGCTTCTGTTATCATTGGCCGGTTTCTAACTGGAATATATGTAAGAATATTGGAATATATGGAATAAATAAAGTTCATTTTCCTAATGAACACACTTCTATATTTAATATGTCAACCTTCATCTGAAAACAAAATACAAAACTTTATTTCCAGATAACTTCAATACTTTCAGAAATACTTAGATCATAATTATAATTCAGGTATAACAATTTGCATGCAAAAAGACACTATCAGAAAAGACTGATTATCCTCTTGTTTAAAAATCTCAGAATATTTTCTAAATAAAACTGAATTACACTTCATTCTTTTTCTTTCTATACTTATACTTCTTGTCTAAATACCCATGTATCTTACAATTCCCAAGAAGAAAAGGTGTTCGTCATTACATGTAGGAATTTACCACTGAGAAAATGTGCTGTTCTCAGTATTATATTTACTGTGATTTCCAACAATGATGTCACTGTTTTTCCAGAGGAAGCATTTCCAGAGTCTGTACTGAACTTCTTTCAGGATTTTAGTTAAGGCAATTAAAGAAATTAAACTTATTTTGGTTACTTTTTTTATAAATTTATTATATTATGAGGCAATGAAACACCTGTAACTGCAGAACAGTATACTTTCACACAAAAAGCAACAACAAACCCATCAGTATTTTACATTTTTGTAAATCCTCACAAAGTTAATTCAACAAAAACTCCCCCTAAAAAAACCAGATATTTGATCTTCTGCAAAACCACATTCCCTTTAATATAATTGAATTATTTTTCCAGCACAGCATGACAAACTGCAAATGACGACATTAACAATGAAATACCAATTTTGTGTAGCAATGTCCCTGGTCCTAAAACAATTTTAATTTTTTTTTTTTTTAAATATATTCAGATTTTTTTTAAGGAGGTTATTTTTTCCCCTCTTTAAATAGTAACCCAAAACTGAATACTTTTTGTTAGAATACTTCATTTTTATAATCCTAATTTAATATGTTTATATGATTTTAAAATTTAATCCTCAATTTTATGAGGTTTACAATATTTTGGATGGTGAAGTAATTTTAACCTTGAGAAATATTAATTTTTCAGGGAATAATGAATTAATTTTGTATCTTTTTTCAAAACCACTTGAAGATATACTCAGATTACTTCCACCTTTGGACAGAACTAAACTGTTGTTTGCAAATATTCTCATTTTGAGTAATAATTATTGTTATGTAGGAACAGCAAAATGAATAGTGTGATACTTGATGGATTAAAGAAGTTTAGCATAACCCTAAATCCATTGTATTTTATTTCTCTGCTGTCCTTTGCATTATTCTGTGCCACTCAGTTCAGCTCTCTCTGCCTCACTCTTTGTTTCCTATCCAGATCAAGCAAAACAGTCAGCTCAGATAATAAGTAGTCAAAGTTACGGTTTGTTCTTTTGTTACTAATATTTGTAATAGAAAGTGTATTAATCAGCAAAAGTTAGCACATTAAATCTTCTTTAATTCACTAATTATGGCCCATTTTCAGCATGGCTGCCATTACCCTTGCTTCCAATGGCACAGAGGCTGCACACTGTTCTTCATAAAGACAGGTATTATCTTCTATTGTTTCAGAAAATGAAGTCCATCTGCCTTCATGGAAAATTATAACCCCTGCACTGTAAGGTGAATAGAGGTAGCAATCTTTTTTTTTTCCCTGTAGGCACACTGTAGTGTATCTTTTACTGAAATCAATACACGATGTTGACTACATTGAAGGTAGGGTTTTTTGTATTTTTCTGAAGAATTATCTAGTGATTAGTGGAAGAAGACAAATAACAATTTGTAAAAAATAAAGGAAAGATGACAAATAATACCACCTAATTTACTCTCAATCATTCTCCATTCACTAATACTACTGAAGATGGTTTTTTTCTTTTTACTACAGGCCAACAATGCCCGGGCTGAGATAATTCAGGACACCAAAGACATGACATAATGCATTTCTCAAAGGATGCACTTAAAAAAGCTATTCTAATGCTTAAATTAATTAAAATACTAATTTCTGTATATCAGACTCTGAAAACTCATCCTGTACACAAAGAAAAAGCATTTAAGCAGTGAGCAGATACTTCACAGCATCTTAACCATACAGAGTTGAAAACCTCAGTGTTCATCTTAGTATGAATTGCAGCAATCATTGCCTTCAATACAAATGTGTATTACCTACAGTACATAAATAGGGGAAGGACATAATTTCCAAGGGCAATGCAAAGATACGCAATTGTTAAGCCTTTATCTTACATATGGATTGTGAAGGGAGACATTTTTTCTTTCTGTGCTTGGAAAAAATGCAGATTAAGAAATGAAACATCTTTATCTGTATTTCATTACATTCATGCAGAAATACCTGCTAGGGAATGACAGAGAGCCTGTCTCAGAAAGCAATACGCTTCAATGGTATGAAAAGCAAGGACTTCACAAACCTTGGGATCATTTAATAAGAACTGGGAGTCACATATTGTTTGTCACTTAGGAAATCATTCCTCTAAGACAAATACTGAGAAACGGGCAGTTCATAAAAACTGGCACAGCATTCTGTTTGAGAATCAATGTCGTGCCATTAATTACTGAGTTTAGTATGTGCACAAATACACTTTGTGGATGGTGTGTGTGAGTGTGTTTGTGTGTGATGAAGAGAAGGAGCAAGAGAGAATAAATTTTAAAAGCTGTGATGCCATATACATTTGCCTACAGGACAGAAACAATTATCATCCAGCATCTATAAACTTGCCAGTTATTATTCCTGTTTCTGATGATGTCACCAAAGAGGTTCATCACTATGTATCAAGTGTATGAAGTACAGTATTTTAATTATTTATAATTTTTTTAGAATCATAGAATGGTTTTATTTATAATTTTCCTCATACATGTATATGTTTATGTATTTATATGCACATATGCACAAATGCACATATATAACTATGCTACATACATTACCAGATTATGACACCTGGTGTATTTATGATTTTATTGTGCTGGTATATCTAAAAAATGTCCCTTAGCAATTATTTAGAAACCTAACATGTCCTTGTCTGAACATAATTTCTTAAATTCAGTCCACATTTTCTTTAATTTCTGGTGACAGTCTAAGATCTTGAGATTTAGGGCTTTATCGTCAAAATTCTCTAGATTTTACAAACCAGTATGAGAAAAAAATGTTGTCAAAAGAGAAAAACACTTGCAATATTTCCTTTGTTTTTACACTAAACAATCGGGCTTCTCCATTACCACCAGGTTTGTAACTCTACTAATTTAAATCAGATAAAATAGTCACCCTGCACAAAGTCTT